TCAAGTATGATTTACATTTTTTTTTTGTGATTTTAACTTACTGATTTTGGCTTTGGTACTTTCGCGGCATCAACGGCAATAGGTGATTCAGTGGACGAATCTTTAGACTTTTTTTGAATTTCTTGWCCCTCGGTTTTCTGTTTTTCCAACGCCGCTTTTTTTCGTTCCTGTTTAGCCGCTCTCTTGGCTTTTCGTTCGGCCTCCACCTCTTCCCTAGTCTTCTCTTCGGTTGGCGGTTTGTCCATTACAATAAATTCCAAGTTTTTTTGTACATGAACAACAGAACGTCAGTAAAGACTTCCGAGTCGAGAATTCGAGATGTTTAAAAAAATTAGATAGACATTATTTCATTATTTATTATTATCTAATATCTTAAATGATAACACGTTCGTGGCGTGTTTCAAAGAGAATGTGCTTATGCTATAAATTCCTTGGAGCGATTTATTTTTCATTTTTGACTTGCCGTTCGATTTGTAAAGTTTTTTGATTTTTTATGACCTCCTTCTATCCGGGATTAATTTTCTAGGCGGTTTCTTCTCAATAATTAAAAAAAAAACACACAAATTAAACACTTATAACTGTGGAGTGATGAAAATAGCAAACAGTAAACTTATTTATATTATATTAAAACAAGAWTACAGATAACAAGTTACTAATTATTTAACAGTATACTWATAGCAGAAGCATAATATGTCATACTGGTCATAGGATTTTGATTAATCTATAATAATATGTCCTGTCTAGTGTCTATACAACTAAAGTCGGGCGCCCATCATGCTCTAACGTAGTGAAAAATAAGCCTGTAACATAGGCACAAACAGTGTGAAATCTGGGGGGGGGCTGAAGCTGTAGCTCAGATCAGGATACTGAATAGTGAATACTCTTATGATGCTTTTAAATAAAATAATGTGTATCATGTAGTAAAATCATTTGTTTTTGGAGGGCTATAGTAATTCTTAGGGGGGCTAAGCCCCCTCTCCTATTTGTGCCTATGTGCTGATTGGGCTGTAACGATTTAGTGCATACGGTGCACTGCATTACTGCAATATTATCTATTTGCGTCTGTTTCGCACTGAAACCGAACTGCTATACCTACCACTATTTCATCGGTTTAGTAAAGGGGTGGCGAACCCAAGGACACGCGTCCCAAAAGTGGCACGTTTGTCAAATTTCAATGGCACGCGAAAAATTAAAATGAATGCAATAAAAATTATGCAATTCTTAAAATTTTCACATTTGCTTGTATTCCCTTAAGTTAAATTGATTATGCAATTATGTTACTATATGGTAATATCACTATATTTATTATGTTCTATTTAGTGTTTACAAACTTTAGGCGCGTAAAAAATTGATGAACCCTTGATTGCAAAAATTTAGCACAAGGTCCAAAAAACTTCGCAACCCCTGATGGTTTAGTATGTTACCTGACAGGCTGACAAATAAACGTTACGAGCGATTACCGTACTTTATCTACTTTGACTACCTAAAAATGAGTTAAATTAAAATTTACATAATGAATAATTATTGCTGACGATCATCAAATATTTTAATGTGCCAAAAAAATTGTTGTTATTATTATCATCTCAGAAAACTTCAAATTAATTTTAGTGTTGTGATTTAATGGACCGCCGCMATTCCTACTTTAGTTTTTGGTTGACGAACAAACAAATCTGTTGCTTGACACGATAGGCGGAAGGACACAATATCGATGACCAAAAATGGGACTGATTTTATGAGAACATATTTACTTTAATTT